CACATTCGTCTGCACATATTGAAGGCTACTGTACTTTTTTGAACAATTTTTTGTAGGTGTTGATTCCATGTTAACATATGGTCAAAGATGACTCCTAAGTATTTTGCCTCTAGGGCGAACGGAATTTCTACCCCGTTGAGTACTGGTGACTTTAATCCTTCCAGTACTCTCTTTTTCGTGAAATTCACTATAGCAGTTTGATGAGGGTTCACGGTGAGTTCCTCCTCTTTACACCAATTGTCAATTATGTTTAGAGCGGTTTGTGTGAGGCAGGTCGTCGGCATATCCTAGGCAATAATATGGTGATTAAGAAATCTTCAAATCTTCACCTAAATTGCTATTCGCGGTCGCCAATATCATGACATTGCGAGGACACTCAAAACTACGGGAAAACATCCCAACTCCTGGGCATAGATTGGAACATAGACATGTTTTCCGTAGTTTTTAATGTCATCGCAACGTCATCTTATAATCTTGGCGACCGCGAATGGGCGACTGAATTTGAAATCACAGCGTCAGAGTGGTCGTATCCCAGACGGCACCTCATATTCCTGGAATATGCCTACTACATCCAATTTTCCAATGAATATTGCATTATCTCTGAAGTATTCCATGAATATGTGCATAATCTGATATCCTCAAAGAATATTCCTAGAATATATTTTTCGAATATTCATCAGATATCCCCAAAGAATATTCCCTGAATATGTTTTTCGAATATCCATTGAATATGCTTTTCGAAAATTCCAGGAATATTTCCAAAGCAGATTTTCGGAATGTCGACCTATCCCGAATGGACACGACACGAGTCTGTCGGTCATCGCCTTTTGTTCCACATTAATCCACAAAACATTTTTCTAATTTTGAGATGGGTGTAACTACCCACCTCAATTTTCATCACTAAATCACCACTTGAAATTTTTCTCTGTTATTTATATACACCCTGTAGATGCCCATAATTTTTTTCAGTACTTACCTATATCTACCCATCTGTCAGATGGAAAATCCAGGAAATATTCGTGTTGTTGAAGATACAGACGTGACAAAGGAATGAATAATCGATTGAAATCAGCTGATTAACTCAGATGTTGACAAATTCAGTAGGTATCTAGTTCTTTCAACTTTTGTAGCACGCCCAAAGCAAAGGTGAGTGAATTCATAAATTTTTTATATTCTAGTATTTGCTTTGTTATAATCATTGCAGATCCTGTTGAATTCATCACCGCTACCGGTCAAGAGAAGAAGAAAATCATATGATATATAAAGTGCGAGCTTCAAGTATTTTACAAACCTACATCCTGTATGTTGATTTCTATCCTTTACATAATGAATTTCATTTTATGTGAATATTTCATTCTAGTAATGATTGCAAATCATATTCTTTGCATATACAAGAAATATATTCCTAGTATGGATGTCCATACCGGATACTTGGCAGTGTATATTGGACATCTATAAGTTTATTGTCGGGATGTCCATTGTGGCGACAAATATCGAGAGAAGTAAAATGAGAAGAAGGAAATCTGAATACATCTGTCAGAATTCATAATGTAATATAGGTTATATTCATTCAATAGGTCGCGTGCACGAAGACCGACCCTGGAGGCAAAATATTGAAACACAACCTCATTCTTCTGTGAATTATTGAAACACAACCTCACTTTTTTATTTGGTTACAGAGGAATCAAAAGGTTGAAATAGTTTTTCACAATATTTTGGCATACGAATCGTGTTTCTTGCGTTATTCATTAATTCAAGCATGCCTTCGCATTGTGCTGTTGTACAATGCACAAAAAATGCAGCAAGAGACTAGGGAATATGATTTTTCAGGTGAATAGTAATCTCACATAGTTAGCATTATGAAATGTTGTCATTCCTTATTAAAATTCGTTCTGCCTTCTGCCACTTCTGCAATACAAGCTAATGCTGCTAATAGATTGAAAATGTCTACAACAAACACGATCGTCAGCATGTCAGACCAGTCCTACCGATTGATTGCATGAATCCAATCTTCTTGCATTATTCTAGAAATTTCAGGTATATTTCTATTAGCTGATCCTATTGCAGAAGGAATTCCGATGAGAAATCAGAGAAATAACCAAATTTCAAAAATGAAAACTATGTGAGTGACTATAGTAGGTACTTACTTTTGAATCATAATGTACCATCCGGATTTCTTCATCTTCCGCTGTAGTTTTTGTGCATTTTACAACAGCACAATGTGATGGCATTAGCGAATTGATGAATAGCGGAAAAATACGATTCATATGCCAAAATAATTGTGGAAAACTATTTCGATCACTTGTAAACAAATATGTTTTGCCTCCAGGGTCAGTCATCTGACAGTTCTTGCACGCGACCTATGGGTTGCGTGCAAGAACTGTCAGATGACCGACACTGGAGGCAAAATATTGAAACACAAACGTCACTTTACTTATTTGTTTACAAGTGATTGAAATAGTTTTTCAAAATTATTTTGGCATACGAATCGTATTTTTCCGCTATTCATCAATTCGCTCATGCCATCACATTATGCTGTTGTGAAATGCACAAAAACTGCAGCGGAAGACGAAGTAATCCGGTTGGTACAATATGTTTTAAAAGTAAGTACCTACTATAGTCACTCACATATAGTTTTCATTTTTGAAATTTGGTAATTTCTCTGATTTCTCATCGGAATTTTTTCTGCGATAGAAGCTAATAGAAATACATCTGAAATTTCTAAAATAATGCCAGAAAATTGGATTCATGCAATCAATCGGGAGGACTGGACTGACATGCTGACGATCGTGTGTGTTGTAGACATTTTCAATCTATTAGCAGTATTAGCTTGTATTGCAGAAGTGACAGAAGGCAGAAGGAATTTTAATAAGGAATGATAACATTTCATAATGATAACTATGTGAGATTACTATATTTACCTGAAAAATCATATTCCTTAGTCTCTTGCTGCATTTTTTGTGCATTGTACAACAGCACAATGCGAAGGCATGCCCGAATTGATGAATAGCGCAAAAAACACGATTCGTATGCCAAAATATTGTGAAAAACTATTTCAATCCTTTGATCCCTCTGTAACCAAGTAAAAAAGTGAGGTTGTGTTTCAATAATTCACAGAAGAATGAGGTTGTGTTTCAATATTTTGCCTCCAGGGTCGGTCATCGTGCACGCGACCTATTCATTTGTTTTGGTGGACTTTTATGGTCAATTCCAGTATTGATCATTCCAGAATTACGTCATTTGACAGGTTGCTGAGGGGCAAACATAGTATTTTGTCAAGATTTGTCATATGAAACCAGAATTAGTGGGATCGTTTTCCTTGGAATCCGAGTTGGAACCAGAAAGAATTTCATAATTTTGTTTGGTGAAACTGTTATCATATTGTGGATGTGGCAGGGATGGCCAGGGCTTGCCAGGGCTATGCTCATCAAAGGTAACCTAACCGATAGTTTGTGTGCCCCTCAAGAAACCATGTCAAAATCACGTGTTCTAGAATGATCAATTCAAAAGTTGAGTTATGCCTCAGTTTCCAGCTTTATATGGCCTTCACGTTACAAAGTGAGTTCTTATTATTATTTCTGTGTCTATCCAGGTGTTTCTAATTGCGAATTGTTACGATAACATAACATATTTCTTGAATAGGTGGGTGGAACACCCTTCACCAGAATGAACAGAAGAAAAAGGATTTGGAATACGTTCTTCCGACGTACCTACTATAAAATAGAAAAATTATATCGGATGTTGACAAACTCTTGAATGATACGACGAACAGATGATGTGTGGGCAGGAATCATTGACAATTTCACAGTTTAAGGAATTTTCATCATGGGTCCAAATATCTTGCCTAATAGACTAAAACTGACGATAATAATTTATGGAACACCTTATTCTGAACATGTGGCTCATGCATGATGAGGCTCCATCACATTTCACTCTGAATACAGCTTTCAAATAAGTAGATGAAGCGGATGGAAATATACTATATTTTATCGGGAGCAGTACCTATAGAGTTTGAGGTGTACTTTAGACCAGTAAATATTGAACAGGAATTATGGAGACGAATTCAGAATGCAATGAATATTTCCGAAAATAATACAGATACAAAATATCTAGTTCAGTTTTTATGCCAGTGTATTAGACCACTTCTTTCCCAATTTGTTATCATCCTATATCATATATACTTCAGGTTTCACCCATGCATGAACTGTGTTTGAGATATTGAAGAAATATTCTAACCTGTCTTTTGAACATATATATGGACACCATATGGATGTCTATAATGGACACCTAATGGATGCTCATCATGAATTCCGAATGGATATCCATCATGGATATCGCATGTATGTCCAAAAATGTCGAAAGCTGATATCTAATGGACATCCACAGGATGTCCTGTGTAAACAAAGTGGTCATCCTATAGATGTCCAGGATGCCCAGTTGAGGATATTGACACGATGAAAGGGGTTGATATAATAGCTGGTTATTCCCATCAATATCGATTTATAAGGAGTAATGCTTGGCTTGATAGTTTGCGAGAGGTAATATTCGAATAGGCACTAATAGTTTAGGGGTAGCTGAACGTTCGATACTACATTCAAACATAACAATATTTATTGAAGCATGAAACATTATGGGTAGTGATGATAAATATGGATGAACAACAATGAATATAAAGACCTAATAACAATAACTTACATTTTAATGACCATTACGATGAGCTCTTGTCAAGTCAAGAGTATTCCCAGACCAGACTAACTTCGGAACCCTCGCATCCAATATTTATATACATCAATTTATCAGATTCGCACGTTTCTCACGAGAGTTCCTTGGTTAGTTTTTATAATTCAATGTCAACGAATGATTTCATTGACTTCATGTTTATATAACCCTCATGGTTCGAAATTTCTAATATACCGTATGTTCTACTTGTGATGGATGTGTGTTATTAGGGTGTTACCCAATTCAAAAACATGAGATTTTTGCACATAAAATTCTCTCACCTCTTGGCTCCGTGCTAGGAGGGCAGGCGATGGACTCCCGCCTGTTGGGCAGCACCCTGCCCAGAGCCGCCCCTCCGCTGGGGAAGGCAGCCACTGACTCGCGCCTGTGCCGGCCGAACATGGCGGGCGGCATCCGCGAGATGGTCACCACCGAGTGTCTTCGGCCGCCCGAAGATGGTTGGGCGGCCGTTGAGAGGGTGGCGAGGAATTCGGCTTGGCGGGGACCTGAGGAAAGAGCGCAGAATGATAATATTAATAATAATAATAATAATAATATAATAATATAATTTATTTTTTTTCCTTTATTTGCTCAACAAGAAATACAAAAAATCTTATAGCAAAGAGTTTCAGAGAACCTATAGAATATAATCTAGTAAAAAAAAACTTTCAAAAAGAGAAAAAAAAAAATGTAAAGAAAATTCACTGCAGAAATACAATATCAATTATAAAAATACAAATAGATATGCAAATACAAATTCAAATATGCCCCCATTACAAATCTCCGAGGAGAGAGAAAGAATTTAATGTGCTTGTATACAATCATAGGTACGAGAGATATACAATTCATTAGTAAAAAAATACATTATGACCTATGGAAACGTTCACCCAATTCATGTAGTATATAAGTTGGTACATATTATATTAAAGTGCTTAAGGATCAAACGATATAGAGGCAAATGAAATTATTCGTTGACGATGAAGGCACGTAGCTTCATGATTTCATGAACACACTCGTAAATAATCTTGGCCTCAACAGTACTTATATTTTGAAGAGCAGCAGCTAGAGAGTTTCGATTTTCCAAAAAAGATACGTTGTTTGGCCTGACAACAGAGAGAGAATATTTATGTCATAATCGATTTTTAAGGAGATAGCAAAGTGATCAGATATCAGATTGTTATTAAGAACACAAAAATCGCGGATTAAACTCAGGTGAGAGTTATTAGCCCAAGCTAAATCAATTAAACTTTGACCTAAGTGATTGCAGAAGCTAAAATTTGCAGGTCTATCACCATCGATTCTACCATTTATTAAACAAAAAGAGTTTGTGTCCATGAAATCCAGTAAAGCACGTCCCCTAGAATTCACAGTAATATCTCTACTAATTCTTTTATCATATAGATTAGTACCTTCGAGCACCTCATCAGATATTTCGCCAAGGTTACCTACTCTACAATTAAAATCACCGATAAAAACTATGAGGTGGTCGGGGTATTCATCAAACATACTGGACACAGAAAGCTGGAAATTTGATAATATATCGTCAATATTCAATGATGGTTTTATATAAAGAAAGCATAGTATAAAAGAGAAACTGTGATGCTTTATAAAACACGAAATCCACCAGGGGGTTTTCTCAAGTATAGTGCATGAGAAACTTGTTTTTACAAAGATGCACAGACCACCGCTTGCACGACCATTAGATTTTTCACTTATCGCCGGGACACTAATTATTTGACAATCAGAAAAATTGTGGGGGAGACTAGTTAACTCCACCTTGAGCCACGTCTCGCAGACACACAGGATATGGAAATCAACAGCAACATCATGGAATTCAGAGAGATGCTTGAAACCTTGTACATTCCAAGCAATTATTGTCAGTGGTAGCTATTGTTTGGTGACTTGCTTATGAACCTTCAAACCCCAGTTGCGTTTTGGAGAATATTCTTCATCACGTGTCCTCTTAGAAGGTAAGGAAATGTTTCCACTATCAGTTTTGGTTGTCTTGACTATTTTGGGCCTATTATTAATATATTTGATAGTTATATCAGCTTCCCCATGACTTTTCCTCTCTTCAAGTTCGGATCTTAGCGCATTTAAATGTTTCTGTTGATTTGGAGTTAGATCTGCTCTAATAGAGATATTGGGAAATTGTTCTCTTGATAGCTTGCGCTTATTCCTCAGAATGTCAAGAGCTATTTCGGATGATAGCAGGATGATTTTGAGCGGCCGCTATCCACTCGTTGACTTACCAAAACGGATGGCCTTTCTGATATTCTGTTCAGATCCTGGCGCAACAGATTGCAGTATATTTTTAGCCAAGCCCAGATCATCATCATTACCCCTGGACTCAGGCAAACCCATTATCAAAATGTTTTTTTCCCTGAGGATACGCTCATTACATTCGAAGTAAATTTCCTCATTACCCTTCATTACATGATTTTCCAGTTGAGATATTCGGTCGTTTAGTTTCAAATTCTTACATTGTATCGAGGGAATGTTCGACTCACAGTTGGAAATGGCAGTTGCATGAGAGGCCACTAGAGAATGCAGGTCTTCAATATGTTTGTTGCATGAAATGATAGAACTGTTGAGGGAAGAGAGCTGCTTCATGATCAATTCAAAGTGCTTGACCGTCAGAGGTTCATCCTTATTCATAGCTACAGTCGATTTAAAGGAAGAGTCTGAATTTTCGGCGCATTTCGTACATGTCCACGTCGAATCTGAGAGCAGCTGACCACACGTCCGATGCGTCTGTTCGAAGCATACTGAACAATGAAGGCTATCGTTATATTCGTTATTATCGCCACTGATAGCGGACTCGCACACTCCACAGGTAGAGGGAGGCGGCATCGTGTACGAATATCAAAATAAACTGTTACTGTTTGATGAACGAACGGCACAGAAAAAAGAGTAAATATAGAGTTAAACTCACTAGAATTACAAGAAATTCACCAAATGTATTCCTTGAGTCATCAACAATCACTAGGACAAATTACACAGTTTTCGACAGTGATTTTCACACGGAAAAGCGAAGTTATATTCAGAGATAAATAAATGCGACCGCTACCGATTTACGCTGCTCAATTTATTTACCAATTTCCAGGAATGTTACATCTTGGTATAATTTAGTGTTTAAGTAAATAAATGAGATGCCCACTATAAGGATTCCCTTGAGCGTGGGTGTACAAAAATTCACATGTGAATTCTGAATTCTAAGTGAATGTGATGAGGTTCATCTTATCATTATAGAAGTACCTATTTGATAGTTATTTATATCCAACTTTGAAAATTGCATAAAATGTAATTATCGCACAATAATAATCAATATCAATAACAATATGGGCTAACTGAATATATACATATGTATACAAACATATACATATACACACATACACATACACCCTTACACACACCTACATGTACATACACATACACACATATACATACATGTATATACAATGAAATATAATTTATAATGGGATTGAAATTGTTACAATTACTATAATACAAACTAGAATGAAAAATAAAAAATGATAAAAAATGAAGAGGAAGAACAATCTACCTATATAAAATAAAAGATAAAATGGAATGAGAAAAATAAGAAGTTCTCATGTCTGTGATTTCATCAGTGGGTTACTCTAGTTAGTTTCTTCTCAGATATTATAAGAATTCTTGCAATCTATCAGATTATGTATTTTACTCCGTGATGAATTTCGTTATCCATATTTTCAATTTACTTTTCAATAGGGAAATAGAGTTAATGCATTTGAGAAATCCTGGTATTTCCGAAAAAATCTTCGGGCCAAGATAAGTGTGGCAACGCTGCCCAATAGTTTTGTGCATTCTTGGAACTTGTATTGATTTGTTTTTTTGTCTAGTGCTATATCTGTGTGCCAGTGGATAACTTTCGCTTTTATTCTGTATTTGTCGAAGCGCTTATTTATAAAAGAATAATTGTCTTATATCAAACATTTTTGATTCTTCAAAAAAGGCTTCAGTAGGGTAAGTGATGTTTTTATTGAAAATGATCTTCAATATCCATTTATGAATATTATTCAATTTTTCTAGGTAAACGTTCATCACACCACCCCAAGCCATTATTCCATACTGAAGATGAGATTGAACGAGAGAATAGTACAGTATTTTCATTTGTGATGTATTGAAGACTTTCCTCATAAATTTAAATTTGCATAACATACATCGGATTTTTTTAATCACATACGATATATGCTTGTCCCATTCTAGATTTGTGTATATAATAATTCCTAAATATTTTATATGAGTTGCTGATTTTAGGGTAATGATTGTATTATCAATAATAAAATTCAATGTATTGTATGTTGGTAAGGAATCACTATAACAACCGAATGGAATAAATATCGTCTTATCAAAATTAATGCTCAGTAATTCACTGTTGAACCATTTAATGATTTTAGAAAATGATACTTCAACTTTCCGTTTAAGGTCGCTCCAGTTTTTGTCTCTATAAATCATTGCACCATCATCCGCAAAGCAAATGAATTCACAGTTTTCATCTTGTTTGAATAGGTCATTCAGATAAATGTTGAAGAGTATGGGACCTAGCACTGTGCCCTGCGGTACTCCATAACTTACAGCATTCTCAGAACTTAATCGATTGCCTATTTTGACACAATGTTTGCGGTTACTGAGATAGCTCGTCATTAATTCAAGAGCCGTTCCTCGTATTCCGATGTTATTTAAAGCTTTTACCAGTTTTTCGTGACTCACCGTATCGAATGCTTTGGCTAGGTCAACGAATATACATAAACATTTTTCACCTTTGTCAACATATTCGTAGATATTTGATGTCAATTTAACCATCGCATCCTCCGTTGAAACTGACTCTTTGAACCCAAACTGATAAGGTGATAAAATATTATATCTATCTAGATAATTGACCAGTCGCGTTTTTAGTATTTTCTCAAAAAATTTCGAGACGGTGCTCATCAGGGATATGGGTCGGTAGTTGGAGACTACTTTCTTGTCCCCAGTTTTGTACAATGGCTTGATGACTGCTTTTTTGAGAGCATTCGGAAATGTCCCTGTTTTTATTGACAAGTTTATAAGATAAGTAATAGGTATCACTATGAAGTCTACGATTTGTTGTAAAGTTTCTGCTTTCAATCCATCCATAGATTCATTATATTTTGCGTATTGTTGTTCTGTTTTTTTTTCAATTGACTCGGCCGTTACTTGATGGAAATCCATGACGAATGTAAAAACTTCACAAACGATGAGATTTCCACAAAATTCTCAAACACACGACATGTTTCGCTAACACAGTAGCTTCGTCAGGTGATAATCTGGTACAATGAACTAATTTAACGTTGGCTTGCTTAACTTCTATATATCCTACTAGTATATAATGAGAGAAAAGCAAGAAAGGCGAACAACCTGCAGACCGGTTTCGAGCTGTTGGCTCTCATCAGTGGAGGGCTGTCCCAGATAGCATTCTTGATCGCTATTTGGTGCGAACCTGACTCAGCCCGAAAGGTTGAATGCCCAGGATCAAGTGTCGCCATATAACTAGCTTACGTTATATGATAGCTCCTCATCCCCATGTCCATTCACCCCCACTCACTAACGAGTGGACTTCAACCTCATGCATTCGACAATCTGCATATG